TCGCCAAACGAGTTTCAGTTGCCGGCCTCGGCGGCCAGCGAGCACGGACTGGTTCGTTCAGACTTCTTGTTGCCCAGGCCACAATGCAAGGGCCCCAGTGGCGACGGTGTCGGCGGCGACGGGGCAGCGGGCGAGGGGGTCGGCGGGGCAGGCATGACAGCCCCAGGTTTGAGCGCGGGTCCGGGGGCCGCCATGCTCGAGACCGCGCTCGATCCGGATCGATCCAGAGCTCCAACCTATGCTGAAGTAGCAGAAGCGAGCCCTATCATCATGCTCTCGCAGGGTCTCCAGAAGTGGAGCCGTTTGTACTCTCAGTTTATCCGGTGCGTCGTCTGGGAAACATTGGGCCTCCAGAAGCAGAACCTCCAGACCGCCCCGCTCATCCAGCAAACAGCGCTGGAAGCGCAGGCCAGGGATTCAAAGTGGGGTGCCGTAGCATAATGGAAGAAGGGGTGACGGAGCAGGGTTCGAAAAACTGCGCCGGAGCGTTCCAGCGCGCCAGACGCCCCCGAAACCCGCTGCGCCTCCCATTCGCTCGGAGACACTCCGTTTCGCCCAAGCCCTTCTTCCAGTGGTCTTGCGACAGAACCCCATCTTTCAGATTTTCATCCGGCCCTCAATTCAGCGCCGTCCGGGCGGGTGTCATGGGGGATCTGTAGCGTTGCGCGCTGGCCGGCGCAGCGGTGCCGGTGGACGTGTCCACGAAGGAAGTGCGCTGGGTCCACGTGGTCTCCCTGATTCTCAGAGCAGAAGAGAATCTCGGGATGTCGCCCCTGGAGATGTTCCGTCGCGACAGGCCGCGGCCGGTGGCGATGCCCCGCCGCCGGCGCCACTTCGCGCCGGAGAAGATGCAGTGCCGCCGCGATCCGACGAGGCGCCGGGCGGGGGCGAACTCCCACGCGACGTGGATCAAGTGTCTCGACTGCGACTCCCGCCTCGCGCGCTGGAGCAAGCCGAAGATCCAGGTCAATCCAAAGACCCTGGCCATCAAGGACGGCCCCGACAGGAGCTCGAGGGGCGGCCCCGACGGGTCCGATGGCACGGCTGTGCCGAACTTCCGCCGGCACTGGCAGGGCCAGGGCGACAAGGGCCAGCCGAGGCAGAAGCTCGCCAAGGTCGGCGCGTCGAGGGTCCCAGCGGTTCCGGGGATGGTTCACCTAGCGGCTTTGAAGCCGCGCTACGTGCCGATGGAGGTGGACGAGCTGGCCCGGGCGGAAAAGGAGAAAGCGCCGACGTCAGACAGGCCGCCCAGCGAAGTCCTCCAAGGTGATCGAGGAGACACGGGCCGAGCTGAAGGGGGCCATCGAACAGCAGAACGTGGCCATTCAGCAGCACGGCCGCGCTCTGGAGATGCTCTCGACCAAGGGCCAGTCGGGCTTCGGGAAGGCTCCCGGGCGGGGGCTGCTCGGACAGCATGCCTCTGCCGCCGCCGGAGACCGCGTAGCCTGCGAGGGGCTTCGCGGTGTGCTCGATGAGCCAGTTCGTAGAGAGCATCGGCTGTGAGTCTCTTTCTCTTCAGCGAGCTGTCGTCTCGCTCGAGGCCCCAGCCTCCGATCTGTTCAACGTTCCAGGATGTGCGAGGGGGGTTTGGGGCAAGCATCGGGAGAGGGGGCGCGAGTGGGTCCTGCTCGACTACTCGGACGGACGGATGCATGTTCTGGCCAGCTCGGCGAGTCCCTCCAGCAACTTTTTGTTCAATGGAGGGTGCCACCTGGCCTTGCGCCAGGGCCACTTAGGTCGGTCGTGCACGACTGCGAGTTCACGACGATTGCGAATCCGTGATCTCGAAGCGCCAGCGACGGGAGATGGAGAAAACAGTTCGATCGCTTCTAGTAGCCGAGCCAAGGCCGAGTTCGGGGAATCTCCGCCCGCAGTGCCAGTTTTGGGTCGTGTAACTCAGCAGCTGTTTCTAGTGCCTCCCCCGGGGCCTCGTCTCTTCATGAACCTTCCCCTCTTCTTTTCAGTTTGCTCTCCCGTCGGGGAATTGAACGCAGTGGAATGAGAGCTGTTGCCCAGGGGGTTATGGAAGTATTCCCCCCCCCCATTCTGCCTCGAGGCTGCCAAGACCGGAGTGCGCGGCCAGGGAAGTTTCGACCTCGCGACAGGCTGGGATCTCATATTGGCCCGCGACAGACAACTTGCTCGATATTTTATCGAGGTCAGGCGACCAGGCGTTCTTCTCCTTGAACCCCCTTGCACGGATTTCGAACGGCGTCATGGATCCCGTTGAGCGGGCCCGCTGGAAGGCGGAGGGCATGGCCCTTTTCAGTTTCGCCGTTGAACTCGCCGAGCTTTCAGGTGCCCGTGGGAGGAGTTGTGATTTGAGCACCTAGAGTCCGCCTCCAGCTGGAGAGCGCCTCATATGCAGCGACTTCTTTCCACGCAGGGGTTAGTGTCTGTAGTCTGCGACGTGTGCCTCTTCGGTCTTTGCGCGCCCAGTTCCAGCGAGTTGCCCAAGAAACCCGCGAGGCTGATCAGCAACGACCCCTCGGTTTCCGAGGCCTCTAGGAACAAAAGGTGCAAGGGCGGGCGTTGGCGTTGTGTCCTTAAGGTGGGATCCCAGACCTCAAGCGCTCGAGTCTAATTCCCCCCCCGCTTGTCAAGCATCTGGCGATGCTCGTGCGCGACGTGGCCGATCGCCGCTCCAAGGGGGTTACCGTCGAGGATGTGGTCGGATGGGTTCGCCATGAGTTCTTGTGCCAGAAAAATAAACGCATGTCGTTCGGTTGCTCATCCGACATCCTCTGGCCCTCGTTTCCCTCGGTGATTGATCCCGAAGGGGCCCTCGAGGGGATTGCGGATGAAGCCGACGAGGCCAGCCCCGGGGACCGCGAACCTCCTCCAGATCGAGGAGTCGTCAGCTCTCGAGGGCGCTCCTCTCGAGATAAACGCTCGTTGGCCATCCAGCCAAGCTTCTCTTCTTGCAGATTATCCGCGGTGCTCGCGTCAAGCCGGAAGTGACGCAGTTTGTTCGAAGAGAATTCTCGTGTCCTGATTGCGACTCGCACCCCCGCCCTGCCCACCGGATGTCTGTGGCGATGCCCTGCGCCTACCAGTTCAACGTAGTTGTAGCTGTTGATTCGTTTCATTTGAGTTTCAATGGCAACTTGATGACCTTTCTGAACATGATATGCCACGGCGCTAACTATCAGGTTGTGGCTCGGTCTGAGGGGGGTGCTCGGGAGGCCTGGGGGACCTCTGTCACTTCCTGGTTGCGTTTCTTCGGTTCGCCGGAGCTCCTCATTTCTGACGGGGGGCCCGAGAGTTTGCTCGCCCAGACGAGGTCAGATGCGCAGTGCTCGAGGTAACCTTAGGTAGTTAAAAGCTGCTCCAGCAAGCAATGCTCCTCCACCGCCATCCCAACCTCTCCAAACATAGGAACGCCCGCCATCCCACAACGTCTAGCTGAGAGTAGGCAGTGTGCACCGAGTAGAGCACGGTTTTGCGCAAAGTGATGTGCCGTGTGATTCAGTATTCCAGGTTGGATTTTTTGGCGAAAAAGGCAAGCGTGGCGGTTCTTGGGTCGGTGCCCAGGGTTTTACGGTTCACCCCCATTCTCCTTGGACCCAGGGCCCCCGTGTTTTTTGTTAGTTCTTTTCGGTTTTAGCACGAAACCGTGGTATTTGAAGGGTCCAGGTTAGTAGGCTGGCCAGGTTGGCTGGCCTTCATGTTGGCATGAACGACTGAAAGCATGCATGCATGCAGGCTGGCCTGCAAGGCTGGCCTGTCAGGCGAATGGGGCTCGCCCTGCCCAGTGGGCTAGGGGTCCCGAAATTTGGCCCTGGAGCAGTAGGAGACAATGAACGGTGAGGGAGAACGAAGAGGCAGATGCGAGTATGATGATTCAGACTGTAGGTGGCCAGTGATGTTGGCTGCCTTTCTGCTAGCCTATGGCGAGAAAAAGAAATGTGTTATGATGTCCTCCTATGGGAGATCAGATATCCATGACTTTGAGGTAGCTCCTCCTTCTCCTCCTCCTCCTCCTCCTCCTCATCTCCCCGGGGGACGCCGCGCGCACGAGAGGGCACGGCGGCGGCGTCGACGGATGGCCGGCGACCGACGTCAAAGTAAGGCGACGACGGTGGACGACGACGACGACGACGACGACGGCGACGAAGACGACTGGTGACTGATGATTGAGTACGTCGACCACTGACGACAACGACAGACGCCCGCCATCCTCCATCTTACCTCTCCTCCCTCGTCCTCCGCGTCGACACTCATCTATCCGACTCCTGCTTCCGCGGCCCTCCAGCTTCCGACGGTCAGAGGCTGCGGAGCGCTCAGGCGCTCGGAAGCCTCAGAAGCTTCTGCAGAGCGTTCAGAGGCTTCGAGCGCTTGTTGTAAAGTAGCCGTTCTGATTGTAAAGTAGCCGTTCTGGCCCCGTCTGGGCTGTAAAGTGGGCCGTTCTCGTTGTGAAGTGGTCTGTTCTGGTTGTAAAGTTGTCGTTCTCAACGAAGATCATATGATTTGACCGCAAGTTGCAAAGTGTCCCATCATGATTATACAGGTATCGTCCTGGTTGTAAAGAGTCCGAATCTCCGTCCCCCTCCCGCTCCGTCGCCCCCCATCCGCCCTCCTCTCTGGCGCAGATGTCCTCGCGCTGCGTCTGCCCAGCAGCACTCGGAGGTCCATCTCTGCTGACCTGGAATACTTCGCTTGCGGCAGCCTGTGCCGCACGTGCCACAGGTAAGCCCACCTTGTGGCCGAGCTATGCCCTGCTTGTGACCTTCAATGCCCAAAGGTGGGCCCCTAAACACGTGCACGTCTGCAGCCTTCTTGGCTACGGGGCTGGGCTCTAGCGCCTGCTCTCCAGGCCGCCCGAAAGGGCCCGGAGCAGATGGGGTCAGAGGATCGCGCCGCGTCGCCGATGCAGCGGCGATGCGGCACGGCCTGGATCCCACTCTTCTCCAACGCGGCGCGATCCTCCGACCCCATCTGTCTGTGGCGCCACGGGCGTCCGCAGTGCTCCAGCCAGAGCCACGCCGCCCCGGGGAGCCATGGCGCCCAAGGTCGACGTCCTCCAGGAGGCCAGCGGAGCGGCGGGGGCGCTGAAGAGCTCGCGCTCGTCCCACAGGGGGAGCGACTCCCGCCTGTCGGAGCGCAAGCTGAGTGAGTGGTGGAGGCGCTACGACCAGCAGGAGAAGGGGCACCTGACGTACGAGGACAGGCACGCCAGAAGCACTCTGGCGGGGTTTCTTTGCTGAGGTTTTCGCAGGTTTTGGTGTTTTTTTTTTTGCCTTTACTGGCCTCCCTCTGGGGACCTCGAAGGACCTGCGGAGGCCTCTTGTGCAGACTTCAGATCAGGGCGTTGCGGAAAAGTCATCGCCCGCGCCTTTCCCACGAGCTGGGCCTGTGGGGGTCCTCAGGCACCTGGCCCGCGGCAAAGAGCCTGGCCCGTGGCAAAGGGCCGGCTCCCAGAGATGGTTGGGGACGTCCAGGGCCCACCCATGGCATGAAATAATCAAGACATCGCATGTCTCTGGGCAGCTGGAGCGCTCCTCAGGCCCTTGCGGGCGAGGGGATCTCTGGAGGCCTCTGTGAGAACCTCTGGAGGCCTCTTGGGGGAGTTGATGGCGAGCCTCTGGGGATCTGTGGGGACCTCCAGGGGTATCTCTGGAGACTTCTGCAGGCCTCCGCGGTGAAGTCGTCCAGAGACCTCCCAGGGGTGTGGAGAGACGAACAGGCAGACGCCATGTCGAAGAGGAAAAACAATACGAAGGAGCGTACTAATAGTGATGAGGAGAGCAATTCAAATAATAGTAGTTCGATGAATAATGACATTCGTACGAAGAATACGAAGGGTGCACCGAATCGTAAGACTACTACTCGTAATATCCTGACAAGACGGACAATCATAACACGAAGAAGGATAGTCATATTCATAGTAACAGTGTAAGACATCTGCATTTAAGCATTACGAACATAACATGCACATCATATCACCACTTCGGAAACTACAAACACCAAGACGATACCATAGACACATCCAGAGGGGCATGCTACACGTCATCATAATAAGCATGCGTGTTCGAAACAACACACCACTACTATTGATAACCGCGTGATTCAAAATAATGATACGGCGAATAACAGTCATACCAATTCATGACCGCAGGAGTAATACGATCCGTTTTTGATTGCGAAGGCCTGACGGCCGGTGCCGCCGACCCTGTTCGCAATGCGCAGCAAGAGGCACGGGCTGTGGGATGGTTTGGGGGAACGGGGAGAAGGACGAGAAGGTGGGGGAGGGAGGTGTCGTATCTGACCCGGGACTTCCCCGGGACTCCCCCGGGACCCCCCCCGGGACCTCCTCTCCCCCCCCCGTCGGGGAAGGGAAAGGGAAGGGGCTTCCCTTCGACTCAATGACGACGTTGCTCAAGGTCGGTACGGGGGGGGGGCGTCGTATCTGACTCGGGGGGGGGGTCGCTACCCCCCCCGCTACCCCCCCCCCCTCCCGGCGGGGGAGGAATGAAAGGGAAGGGGCTTCCCTTCGACTCAATTACGAGGTTGCTCAAGGTCGGCTTGGCTGGAGCCCAGGGGAAGAGGAGTCCCAGGGGGGGGCGTCGTATCTGACCCGGGGGGGGGGTCGCTACCCCCCCCCCCCTCCCGGCGGGGGAGGGATCAAAGGGAAGGGGCTTCCCTTCGACTCAATTACGAGGTTGCTCAAGGTCGGCTTGGCTGGAGCCCAGGGGAAGAGGAGTCCCAGGGGGGGGCGTCGTATCTGACCCGGGGGGGGGGTCGCTACCCCCCCCCCCCCTCCCGGCGGGGGAGGGATCAAAGGGAAGGGGCTTCCCTTCGACTCAATTACGAGGTTGCTCAAGGTCGGCTTGGCTGGAGCCCAGGGGAAGAGGAGTCCCAGGGGGGGGCGTCGTATCTGACCCGGGGGGGGGGTCGCTACCCCCCCCCCTTCCCGGCGGGGGAGGGATCAAAGGGAAGGGGCTTCCCTTCGACTCAATTACGAGGTTGCTCAAGGTCGGCTTGGCTGGAGCCCAGGGGAAGAGGAGTCCCAGGGGGGGGCGTCGTATCTGATCCGTTTTTGATTTGAAGAAGCAACAACTAATATTGTATAGTCTGATTGGTTGTAGACTGCAGGTTAAGTGGGAGGGGGTGTGGGCTCAGGTAGCCATTTTGGGTCCGTAGCGTTCGGCTCTGGCCGACGCGCGGGTGTTCCAGGGGGCCGCGGGGCGGCCATAACCACAGCCGTGCTAGTCCGCGGACTAGGTAGCGCGCCTGTGGTGCCATGGCTGTGGGCTTCCTGGGGGCGCACCTGATGATCTTGGTTACGGGCGGCGCTCTTACGGTCCAAGGGGCACTTGGCTGGCTGCCATTCGGGCGCGGGGGACATGAGGTCCCAGCGCCGACGCCGCCAGCCCTGCCCGGGCCGACAGCGCCGCCGGCAGGCGGTGGGGGGCGAGGCAAGGGGCGAGGACCGCCCGCCAAGCCCGCGCCTGCAGGGGGAAAGGGGCGAGGGCCGCAGGCCAAGCCCCCGGGGACGCCGGGCGTCCCACCGCCGCCGCGGTCAGGGTCGACTACAACGACCACGACCGCGGGCATCGGGCGCGTAGGCGAGGGCGAGCCCACAGGCAGCCCAGCTACGCCGGCGTACGGAGGTAACAACGAGCCCACGGGCGCGCCTGGGCAGCCGTCCGCCCCGGGAAACCGGACGGGCGATGGTGAGCCTGACCTGCCGCGTGGGCCGGACGGGTATTGGGGGTGGAGTGGTTGGGTCCCGCACCTGCCCCATTGGTGGGCTGGCCGGAGCGAACCCCCACCGCCGCCGCCGCCACCTACACCGCCCCCGGAGGCAGGGCCGGGTCCCGGTTGGGGCTTCGCAGCCTGGGTCTTCGAGGTCGTGGGCTATGGAGCGTGGGTAAGCTCCCCCGACCACCCGGGCACGATCCGCACGAGTGGCGGATGGTTTGGATCCGCCGTCGACCGCCTGGGCGTCAAGATGCTTGGGTATTGGTGGGAGACCGCGGTCTTATGCTTTGCCCTAGGCATCTTCACGTTCGTGTTGGGTGCCCTGGCCTTCATCGTCAACACCGCAGCCCAGCCTATGCTGTGGGCTGCCGGGGGACTCCGCTGGGCGTGGTACCAGATTACCCGGTGCTGCCAGCGACGCGGAGGGGATGGGCCTGGCGCCCATCTTCCCCCACCCCCTCCGACCCCCTTGCTGGTGCGCTGGCGCGGGCCGGGCTTGGGCGGCGTGGTGGAGACAGAGTTCTACACAAAGGGGGTCCGCGGCCGAGGGACCAATCGGGCGTACAACCACGTGCTGCTGCGTAAGCACGGGCAGGTGGCCCGCATCAGCTGCAACTTCGCGGACCGGTACCGATTGGACCGCCACGGGCTCAACATCAAGATCGGGCAGGTCCTGGGGTGCACCAGTCGCAAGTGGCGGCTGAACCTCGAGGAGACAGGGAATGTGCATCTATGTCGTGCTGTCGAGTGCGCCTCCTGTCCAGTGGCGCATCCCATGCACGTCGACCAGTACGCGGCCATTGACCACACACAGATCGTGGACTTGGCTGAGCACGGAAGGGCCACGGCCTGCCGAGCAGTCGGCGTGGGACTCCGGAAGGTATTCGGGGTCGTCAAGTGGCTGCTTTGCTCACCCTGGTCGGTACTCGGATGGCTGTGCCGGGGCCGGCCGGAGCCCCGCTACATCACCGACGCCACGGGCTATCGCCGCCTGGACATCGACTCGGAGAGCGAGGTGGAGGCGGAGGAGCGCCCCTGCCAAGCCGCACAAGTTGGGGTGCAGCTCGCGGGTGGCGCACGCCCCCTCCAGCCGGAGGGGTGCGGCGACCGAGGGATGCAGGGGGCCACTGTCCTGCTACAGGAGGACGCGGAGGTGTCGGACGTTCCTCGGCCTGGGCATTGTCTCAATGCACAGGTGCACCTCTGCGCCCACCATGCGCAGAAGTATCGGTCTACCCTGATCGGCCGCAAGTGCAGCCTCCCCACTTGTCTCCGCATGGCGAAGGGTAGCTGCGGGGGGGCCCCGATGTGCGGGGAACATCTCCGACGGGACGAGGGTCACACCGTGCGCGTCGAGGCGACGGTCCAACCTGGGATCCTCGGGGGCCTGCGCCGCCGCATGCGGGCGCGGGCTCCAAGCCCCGCCAGGGTGCGCGATTGGACCGCGCACGCTGCCGATGGGGTTGGCATTGCGGCCGAGCCGGTCTACCCCCCGCCTCTACCTCCCCCCGCTGCACCGCCACCGCCCGCCGTGGCCCCATCTGTCGATGTGGAGCCCACGGGGGCGCAGGCCCTAACCTCGGGGCCGCAGCCGCGTCGCACACGCTCCGCGGAAGCTAGGGCCAGCGGACGCTCACGGTCTGCCGACCGCGGGGCCCCGGGCGATCGGATCGCCCACCACGGGTGGCTTCAGGAGCCCCTACTCGTGAAGGTCTGCCCGATACTCCCGGGCGACCCTCGGGGAGCCGAGGAGGCGTACGGCGCGCCCCCGGCGAGTCCTTGGTTTATTCTATTGGGGGAATGCGAGGGGCTCGACGTACGGGGCACTGGCGGGGACGCCAGACTTATCATCGGGACTAGCCTCGAGGGCGTCAGGGTGGAGGTCCCAGCCAGCGAGGTCGTACGGCACCCCCCCCCGCTGGAGGACGGGCGTTACCCGATAGATTGGATCAATCGGCTGCTGTACGAGGTCCCCCAAGGGGCTCGGGAAGTGGGGTTGCGTGTCATCGCCCACCACATCCCGCAGGATCTGCTGGCGATGTTACGCCAGGAGCAGTGGGGCGGTGTGGACGTGGAAAGCGCGAGCGGCTGGAGGCGGCGCTACCTGACGAACACGGAGCGCCAGCAGCTGCAGCACGACCCTGTACGCACACTCGGCCACCATCGGCGGGGTGGCGCGCAGGGGGCGCCGCCTGCGCCCGGGATGGAGGGCTTGCCCCGTCCCGCCCCCGTGGCGGCACTGTCGCGCTTAGCGGCGGCCGCCGCCGGCGTGAGCGAGGACGCCGAGGAGCCCGACCCGCTCGAAATGTTCATGGACTCCTTGCGAGCCGAGGATCTCAAAGGACGGGGGGGCCAAGCGGCGGCTCTCAGTGCATTAGGTATGGCCGCGGACCTGCTCGGGGTTCCGCTTGATCAGGCGGAGCGGCAGCTGCGGCGGAGGGTCGCACAGGTGGCAGCGGCG